TTTAACTATCTTTAACTAGCCATACTTAACTACCTTTAACTAACCATAGTTAACTACCTTTAACTACCTTTAACTATATTTAACTACATTTAACTAACCGTAGTTAACTACCTTTATCTATTCGGAACAATAGATCTTATTTTATGAACAAATCAGCCATAAAAGTACTGGTTAAACTGGTTAGTTTTTAAATTAATGACACTTTGACGTTGCCATTTTATTCACTCTGCAATGCATTCTGGGTAAATGACGCCGACTGGTGTGAGCTCCGCTTGAATATTAATTTTGGACATTTTCTGGCGTTCAGTTCTTTGGGGGAGTGTGCGCATGTGTGCGTGCGTGTTCAAATCATAACTCGAATCAGGATTTTTGTGTCACCAGGCTGAACCGTAACACTAACGACCTTCGGCTGATGTTTCTCCACCAGGCGCTGTGGCCAGCACCGAGGTGAAGATGCGTCTGCAGGAGTTCGTCCTGAACAAGAAGAAAGCTCTGGCCCAGCGGAGCCTCAACCAGGGAGGCCTCCCCAACGACGCTCCCTACTGGTACCGGTAAGACCCGACTCGACCCAAACGACTCTTGAGTAATGCGTCTTTATCACGGTCTCTAAAAGTGACAGAGTTACTGTTTTAAAGGCTTAGCAGGTCAATGAATGAGTCACCTCACACGTGCACATGCACACACAGCAGGATATTAGAGGTCGATGACGGGAGCTCCGGCCCTGAGTGCATTGTTTTAAACAGTGATGACAACAGGAGACGATGAGTTCCTGTTAGATTCTGCCGGACGAATGTTCCTGGAGCCGCTCAGGATCAAACTTCTTCTGTTTTTAAACGTAATAAAACCTGAAAACGTGCGCCGTGAATGAAAACAGATGATTTCTCTGCAGTCAGGAGTCGTTACCTTCAGACTCGTGTGAGCTGATTTCTCACCGACGTGCATGTCTCTGTTCTTCAGTAAAACCCAGCACAGCTCTCTGGACCAGGGCTCCCCTCCGCAGACCGGCGTGTCGGCCTACAACCACCCCGTGCTGGGCGTCTACAACCCCCGAGACGACTTCCCGTTGAGAAAGACCGGTACGTCCCAGTCATGTGGTTTTAGTTTGGGTCTGGTAGCTGCAGCGCAGACTCGTGTCCACATTAGGCTGTCGGGGCCTCCCAGCACACCCCCCCCCCCTCCCCACCATGGGACCATGTAGGTGGTTCTCTCATCCCCTGATGTTTTGGAAACATTAGTAACATGGTAAACATAGTCTAACATGATTTAATAATCTTTGAGAGATAGACCAGTTCACATCACATTTGGGGTTCCCCAGGGCTTTATTCTCGGCACCTTTGGGCGTTTTTTATTAATGGCTTTGCTGCAACTCTACGCCTTTGTTTTTTTGTTTTTTTTTATATTTATGAAATAAAAAATGTATGAAATGCCCTCACAGATATCTACATGGTTCCCTGGCTGCAGCTTCTCCTTCCTCTTAAGATGGCCGAGTCGTTCGTTGTTAGATTCGCCTCGATCCAAACGTAAAACCCACCTTTGAGCTCTGCAGAGCTCGTTTTAAAAACTGCTCTTTAGATAAAAGGACAAGACTTCTTTCATACCAGAGTTTTAAAAAATTACACATTTGTAGCCATTTCTTCAAACCTTCAAAATAAAGTTATGGTATTTGGAAGTGTCACACGTATGTGTTGTGAATGACCTTCAGCTACTACCGTTTACCGTACCATATACATTTTAGCTCAGTATCTGTAAAACTCACAGAGTTATAGCTGTTTATGCATTTGAGGCCAGCTGCCTGTGGCGGCCATCTTGGCTCGGGTTGATGAGAGACGGTGAAAGTAGTTTTAATTTTGTATATGCCCTTTTGGCCGTTTAAATATCTGAATGATTTTTAAAAATCTGCTCCTTCAAGCTTTCAACAGGACTTTTCTTTGTAGACTAAAACTCTTCAGACACGTCCCCCCCACCTGGAAATCACTTAGCGCCTCATGTCTTGGGGTTTCGGCGGGAAACCAGCTGTTTTCCGTGGTTTTGTTGGGCGGGTTGGTGTGTGAAGTGTGAGCGGTGGTGAAGCGGTGGAGCAGTGGCCATCTTACAATGAACTATTCACCCAAAGAGGCGAGCGGCGGAGAAACACCACAGCTGACTCTGGCTCCAATCCAACCAGAGAAGAAGAAGGAACAGGAAATAAAGGAGCACTCCGTAGAGAAAGAGATGTCACTTCTGCCTGGCATGGCAGTGACAAAGATGGAGAAGATCAGGAATGAGATGATCAGAGGTACAGCACAGGTTGAACAACTGGGAGATAAAGTTAGAGAGGACACACTGAGATGGTTTGGACATGTCCAGAGGAGGGACAGTGGGTATATTGGTAGAAGGATGTTAGAAATGCAGCTGCCAGGAAAAAGACAAAGAGGAGATGTATGGATGCAGTTAGAGAGGACATGGAGGTAGTTGGAGTGAGGACAGAGGACACAGAGGACAGAGATGGAGGAGGACTCGCTGTGGAGACCCCTGAAGAAGGACTAGTCGAAATTTCCAAAGGCCTGAAAGTCAGATTCAGTTTTTGCTATCAGTAATTGGTTCGTGTCCATCTGGACTGAACTGTCCGCCGCACCTTTAAACTTCTTGTTCCCTGACTCTCCTCAGAGGAACCCGTGGACCTGTTCCCGTGCACCTTTCAGCTTTAAAGTGAGACATTCGGCTGCAGATGGGTGTGGGATGGCACCACTTTTTTGGCGTCCAGCTCATCTTTGGTGTCCAAAGATGAGATAATGGACACTGAAAGGCTCCCAGGACGTTCAGTGTGGAGACAAAACAAACCGAGCATTCGCGCCCCGCGGTCGTGGCCAAGGTGACACGCTGTTCCCTCTCCCTGCCTCCATTCACAAGCTCGCGACGACGCAGACAAAACACCGAAATGCCATGTAGGCAGTCAGACACGGCTCGCAAATTAGAGCTAATTGCTTTTTAGCTCGTCTTTGGGGGGACATGGGATTGTGGCTTGTTCGGCAGCGCTTCAGCAGGAGGGATGAATGGTGCACTGAATGGAGAGCGGCGTGTAGCAGTTTGTCAACCAACGGTTTATTAACGGGGCGCTCCATGACAGGTCGTCGCCTCTTACCCGCTCGAAAATCAAGGAGGACCTGACTGACCAAGTTCCCAGAGGTTTGATGGGGCAAAGCTGCAGAGCTCACTGGACCGAAACGATACCAATAAAATGTTGAGGGGGGAGTTATCGCCCACTGCTGAAAGGTTAAAGGTGGGGGATACGGTTTTAGCTTGAGAGAATCGCCCCGGCTCTGAGGTCAAGGTCACAAATCAAGGTCAACGTTAAAACAAAGTCTTTGTCCCGCTCGTAACTTCTGATCCTTGAACCTTATAAAACACAAAAACTCCGTCAGGTTTACAGAACGTCAGCTAAAGTTGAGGGTCATATCCCACACACCTGAAGTGTTTGCTCAAGAGCAGTGGCCGGTTCTGGCAAAACGGGTCACAACGCGGAGATTCTATTATCGACTTTTAAATTCTCCGCCTCTAAAGCTTCAAAGGGACTCGTAGTTTGTTTATCTCCTAAAAACAAAATGGTTTGTAAACAAGATTTTAAGTGGTTTCATCAGAGTTTCCAGCGTCAGGTTCACATTATACGAAGGGATTTCCTGGCTGTTCGACATACCTGTAAATGTGACGTAATAAACTGAAAGGTTCTGGTCTCCTTCGGTTCTTCTTTCCAGCCTCGGAGCCCAACTTGAAGCTGCGCTCGCGGCTGAAGCAGAAAGTTAGCGAGCGCAGGAGCAGCCCGCTCCTCCGGCGCCGAGACAGCCCCATCACCACCGCCAAGAAACGCTCGCTCGACATGGCAGGTAGGGACGCCGCCGAGTCCAGACTTCTGCTGCGACTCTGCGTGCGTGCTTGATTCTTCTTTTTGTTTCAACGTGACAGACTCGGCGTGTAGCAGCGCCCCCGGTTCAGGCCCAAGCTCCCCGAACAACAGCTCCAACAACATCCCCAACGAGAACGGCATCACTGTGTCCGTCTCCAACAACATGGAGGTAACACGCCGCACTACATGTCAGACATCATTTAACCAGTAAACAACACGCAACCCACCCTGGATCATCCTAAGATCTGGAGTGGTTCCTTCATTTGTCTTGCTAATCGGGATGACTTCTGGAAAATGAGTCCAAATCCTGCTTTCTGCTCAGAATCATGGCTAGTTGTTGGTTCTGCTCAGAAAAGTGCTTCAAAACATTCTTTAGGGTTATATTTAATTGAAGAGACAATAGATGAGTTATTAATTCATCATATTTGGTCCAACTTTCACAATTCTTTCAGCCAATGCTCTGTAGCTGTATAAATCTCTATGTATCTCTTTGTGACTTAGTCTGGATAGTTCTTGCAAACTAACTGTGTGAACTAACGTATTTCACACAGTTAGTGTGGTTCCACATGACGGGTTCCACATATGTATAACTCTTACGTGCGTAACTCTTACATGTGTAACTCTTACATGTGTAACTCTTACATGTGTAACTTACATGTTTAACTCTTACATGTGTAACTCTTGCATGTTTATCTCTTAAATGTGTAATTTACATGTTTAACTCTTACATGTATAACTCTTACATGTTTAACTCTTACATGAGTAACTCATACATGTACAACTCTTATATGTACAACTCTTACATGTGTAACTCTTACATGTATAAAACTCTTACATGTGTAACTTACATTTTTAACTCTTGTGTGTTTAACTCTTACAGGTGTAACTTACATGTTTAACTCTTACATGTATAACTCTTACATGTTTAACTCTTACATGTATAACTCTTACATGTGTAACGTTTATATGTATAACTCTTACATGTGTAACGTTTATATGTATAACTCTTACATGTATAACTCTTACATGTTTAACTCTTACATGTATAACTCTTACATGTGTAACGTTTATATGTATAACTCTTACATGTATAACTCTTACATGTATAACTCTTACATGTATA